AGAGAAAGAGAGTGAGTGTGTGTGAGAGAGAAAGAGAGAAAGAGCATAAGCATAAGATTTTGGCATATCTATAAGGAGAGAAACCAATCAGTATAATAAATAAATTAATTAAATACAAGCTAAGCACTTCTAATAGAAAATAAAAAATATCCAGTAAAACTATTAATCACAACTTAAGCAGCGAACATATTGTATGATGAGCGAGAGACAGACAGTCTAGTTTCCGTTGATAAGAGGAAATCAATGAATGTCGCAGATGCGGGAAGAGTGTGGAAAATAAAAACATAAATCGAAAATAATACGAATTGCTTTTTCACATTTTCACAATTTGGATGTGTCCCACTAGGGGAACGGCCAGGTGGGACGGGAGTCGGTTGGATATACATAGCATGTTGGTTGGCATACATACACATACGCACGCACACACACACACACACACACACACCCTATATGTATGTGTGTGTACATGTCGTATTTGGGGGCATGCAGTGTTTGAACTAAATGCCATTTGTTTTTGCTATCGTGAACTGTTTAGCCATATCTTCACTTACCGATTGCGTCTGCCGGCCAGGCGTGTCCGCTGGCGCTGACATGGCCGGGGTCGTGGAGGTCTCGGCGGTAGCTGTGGGTGCGGCAGCACCGTGCTGGCAGCCTGGCACCGGCGTGTCGAGGCCATCTAAGTGGGTGAGACTTTTTGATTTCAGCTGAAATGGAATAAATGAAAGAAGTGTGTGTGTGGGTGGGTGTATGTGTGTGTGTGTGTGTGTGTGTGTGTGTGTGTGAGTGAGTGAGTGACAGAAAGACGAAATCCGCAAAGCGTCGACCCAATATCCGACATATTTATAATCAAATTGAATACGCAACTTTGTCAACCAAATCGGCATAGTTGAGTGTGAGCACACATACATACATACGTACATACATATATGCATATTTATGTATGTGCATAGATAACATGAAAATTAATAACAATTAGCCACTGAGCACATACAAGTTCAAGTGCTTCAACTCTTTAATTTGCAAAGATTGCCTTGCTGGCCGACAATCCACAAAGCCAAACCCAGGTCCGATGCCATAAATCAATGAAATGGAATGCAGGCCCGTCCAAATAAAAAAATGAAAAGCCAAAGAAAAAAAAAAACAATGATATACTATGCAAATTCCTGCATTTGCATGTTTCCATTTCAAGCTGATTGCACCTGAATCGAGCCAGGCCAATCAATAAAATAATATTTTATTGCGCTTGACTAGTTACAGCTTGACTACACACACACACACACACACACACACACGCAAAAAAGAGTAAAATGAATAAAAATGATTCAGTCAGGAAGAAAAGCTCTCGAAACAAGATAATTAAAGCACTTACAGGAGGAAAGGACGCGAGCCGTTCGATTGGCAAATAAATTGATTCGAAATATGTTTGCAACAATAAATGGGCAAGTTGGGACAATTATGATGACAGCAACGAATCTCCAACTTTTCCAACAAGCGAAAATAAAAGAAATCCCCATGTGACATTGTTAGTTTTCTTCATGTTTGTGCCGCATACACAAAAATACACTTACTCAGCATCATGTAATACATATGTGTGTGTGGTTGTGTGTGTAAATAAACTAAAGAGCGAGCAGGGAGCGAATAGCATATTTAGAATCGAACTTATAATTCAAGAGTTACTATCCAGATATCTCAAGAAATAAACAGTTTAATATAGAAATTTGCGGAAATTCGAAAGGATTAAGAAACTAAACAAAGAACAGGGTTGCAGTCGGGAGTTACCCTCTGCAGAATACTCATGCACATACGAAACTCTACCAGCTCCAATTTCTTATTTGCCCCGACCCCAATCGATCAATATTTATATCATTGCAGACTAATACTATAGTCAGCTCAGAGTTCTGAAAAAACTTCGTTACAGTTTGAAACTATACTATTGTAGGGGTTCTTCCGATTTTTCATACAGAAATCCTTAACTTATGGTCATAGGTTATACATGTACTCAATTTTAAATTTAACTACAATAAATGCTGCTCAAAATAAAATGGAATAAGTTCCAATCAATATATAGGCCGCACCAGATTGTCACACCTCTTATGGACTTTACTCATCCTTAAAACTGAATAATCTTATTGCTTTATCAGCCGTGTCTATATCCCAAATGGAATGCTTTGCGCTTATGCGGACAGACAGACATATAGCAAGACGGTCCCGGCACCTATGAGCTCATAAACTCATTTCACTTTCCTGACTGAGTATAAAACCATACGTTATGCGATTATTTATTTAGATAGTTTTTGTTCTCAAAACGAGCCAATTTAGCTGCGTGGGCGGACAGACGGAGGAGAGACCTTAGCTACAGCATTCCGTATTCTCGGCAAAATGATAATACTGCTCTCAGGTGAGGGCAAACTAACAATAAATGAGAATGTGATGACAACTGGCATCTCACAAACTCTTAGGAAAACAAGAAGAGGAAGAAGCAGGAGGAAGCGGGAGCAGAAGCAGAAGCACAAGTAAATAAAACAAAGAAAGAAATTGAAAAGTCTTTATTCGCATGTTACAAATTGTTTTCCGGCAAAGGAAGGTGCTGTGCCATGCCGTGCATTGCCTTGCCGTGGCCCAGTGTCGCCGGTCGCCGGTCGCTGGTCGTGGGGTCCCTTGCTGGAGCTAAACATTGACTCACCTGCAGTTTGCTTGTCGGCGGCGACACGACCAGACAGATTTTCATTGTTGCACGTAAAAACTCCTCGCGCTTGCTCCGCAGGTCCGCCGGCACTGCGATGGGCGCTGATGTGGCGGGCAGAAAGGGATTCAGGTTGCGCACCAAGGCGCTCGCGTTGAGGCTCTCGGTTGGCGAGGCGGACATTTCGATTTTCTGACCCGGATTATGCTGTTGCTGCTGCTGTTGTTGTTGTTGTGCTTGTTGCTGTTGCTGCTGCTGCTGCTGCTGCTGCTGCTGCTGTTGGGTTGCAGTTGGGCTGCTCTGCTGATGGTGCAACAGCCGCGTGGGCGAGTTCAGGCTGAAGAGCTTGCGTCTATGCCGACCCGGCGTCGAGGAGGAGCTCGACGCTGGGCTGGGCGTTGGTCCCTGCGGGCAGCTAACACCACTTTCACTGAACGTCGACTCCTGGGAGCCGGCGCGACTGTAAGCGGGCGTCGGCAGCTGCGCGGATCGCGTGCCAGTGCCCCAGCCCGAATATTTCACAGATGTCACATTGCAATCTAGCTGCAGCTCCTCGGGCTGCAGCTGGCCCTCCTGCAAGTCGTCGTCCTCGTAGGTGCTGTGGTAGGTCCGTGCTGTAATTTCCGGCAGAAAGGGATTGTTCGGAGAGGTCAACGTGTACTGATAGTAGGCGCCAGCATCGCCGCTCTCGATGGGCAATGTGGGGTCCACATCGGCCTCATCTGGCGTGTCCTCCTCGGGAAAGGAGCCCGTGTTTAGGTCGTGTAGGCCACCGACGCCGCTGCTGCTGGATATCACATGGGCGCCCAGCTGCTCCCACTCGCCGGACGACGAGTTGAACGAGGAGGCGGTGAAGCCATCATTCGAATGGCCCTGACAGCTGCGAGAGCTCTCGTTGCTGCTCCTGAAGAGAAAGTTCTGCAGGCGCGTCATCCGGACGGAGCTGCTCTCACTGGTGATGCTGCAGCTGCGGCTGGCATTGGCCGGAACAGCCGACGACTGATCACCCATCCGACTGCTGCTGCCGGTGGCCAGCTGTTCCACTCTTCGCTTACCCTCCCTCTGCTCCGGCGCCTCATTCTTGATGGCGCTGCTCATCTCGCTGCCCATTTCAAGGTTCAGCTGGCTACTGGCCCAGTGGAGTCCCTCGGCCTGTGAGCCGCGCAGCTCGCTCAGCTCGAAGTTGCTCTCCAGCGAGCTGCTCGAGTTCGTGTTGGTGGTAGCTACGCTGCTCAGGTGCTGGTAGGCGTACTCCGGCGGCGTGCACTCGTCGGGGCTGTCCAGCAGGAGGGCCGCGTTGATGTGTCCTCCTAGTGCCAGGCCGGGCAGGTGCAGTTGACTGGCGACCGAAAAGGGTATACGTCCCGCTGGATTGTTGTTGTCTACCTTGGGCAGCGGCGCCGAGCCGGAGCTCTTCGTTTGGCAATCGTCCGACGTCGATTTGACCTCCAGAGAGCTGTGCACACTGCGTCGAAACGAACGGCGCAATCGTTCAGCTAGTCTTGACTGCTTGGGGGGCTTCTCCTTTGATGGCTTCTCCTTAGCGTTGCCAAGAAGATGTACCTTCTCAGTCTTTTCTTTTCGTGTCTCCTCCACTATTTTCTCGTGCATTGGTGCGGCCTTCGAGTGCGTGCTCCACTCCGCCAATAGCTCTGACTGCGTTTCGGCGACCTCCGTTCCTCTGGCGCGTTTCTCTGGATTGGCGTATACAATAGATAGCGCCGCAAGGCCACCACCCATTACGTTGAGGCTCCTCCGTCGTGCTGCTCATAGACAGTTCGACAATCGGACAGCTCCACTCTACATGGATGGCAATACGCACGTGTACAAATGCATATGAACATATGTATGTATATGCAGCCCTGATTGGCCTCACTATGACTCGATAGACTTAATTCGCTCTTAGTCTGTAATTAACTTTACACTCATTAAGTTAAGAAGCGTTTGGTTTTCCCCAACAGAAACACAATGAATCATTCGAATTCGCTTGTGCCCCATTTAACTGTTAAAATTATATATTATTTATATGCATTCTATTGCTTAATTAGTTCATTTAAGTTGGTTACTTGTTGATTAGCTGTAAGTAGACAGATCACAATCAGAAATCAAATCAGCGCCCCGTCGTAACCGGCTGTAACCCGGAGGGAGCTCAACTATCTATCTATTACAGAACTCAATAAATAAATCAAAATAACATCACATAGACTTGACAACTGAAAATCATTTATAACTGAGACAAATCGAGTTGTCTCTCTCTCTCTCACTCTCTCTTAGAGAGAGCTCCTCTCCTGGTCACACGCTCCAGCTGCCCGCTGGAGCGTATCCCCGGCCATTACTCACCTTAGTTAGTTTAAAAGCATTTTGATATCGGCTTATTTATACTTTTTGCGCGCTTTCTTCCTTATAGCGAGTGCCTGCCTCTTACCGTACATTTATTTTGAAAAATTATTTGTTGCTCGCTTCGCTGCGTTACGTCTTCACACACACACACACGCGCGCGCATAAATATGTTGGATGGAGTATGCCATATGGATTTCAATTACCTATAAGAGACAAAAGGGAATAGTTGTTGAATATCAAATCAATCGAAATTTTCTTAGCCTAACCCGGCCACACAGCATGGCTAATAAGCCATCTATAAATAAATGTGCCACCTATTGAGACTCAAATGGAAAAGCCCCATTCCATTCTGGGCCGAGGGCCGTGCGAGGCATTTAGCATTTACCACTTGCCTCTGATGTCATTTCTATTAGCCATTTTGCACTTTTTGTCAATCATTTGATTTATATCGCTCACTCTGCCACGAAACTTTTGCTCAACCGAGAAGCAGCGGGCAGGTGAAGTGGCTCAGTGGTGCAGCCGGGCCACCACCCACCCACGTAGAAGGCAGAACGCAAAACTAATAAAAGTAGCCAGGCCAACCAAGCCCTTGCCAAGCTAAGCCAAGCCAAGACGAGCCAGGCAGAGCAGAGCATATAAAAACAAAATGCATTCTTGCAAAAACAAATTGTGGTCAAGAGGCCACGACTGAGTCATACTCTCTATTCAGACTATGTTGACTGGTCAGGCTGGGAGCATGATTCGCATCACTGTGTGATGAATATAAATACAATGAATGTCTTAATCGAGTAGCTCAGTACGATATTGCTATACATAGTATATAACTGCATTATATCAGATTAAACTATCAATAAATAATGAAATACGTAAATCATAGATTATATAAACAATTAAATAATTTAGTAATTTAATAATTAATAGTTTAATAATATAACTAGGTATTTAGTTTTGTATATTGCTTTAATAATTATTATTATTTATCATTCATAATTATATTTAATTAAATTACTGTACTGTTCATTATTAATATCTATAAAGCAATTTAATACAATCAAATTAATTAAATAAAAACTAATTTATTTATTTTATTTAATAATTGTATCAATTAATAATTTAAAATCTTATTGACACTTTATCATAGTTCAATTAATGTACTAATACAATTAAAATATATAATATGTATATATGTATATGATTATAATGAAATTATTAAATATTAATCTTATTAAAAATAAAATAAATAAGTAATTAAATTAATAATACTCAGTAAAGTTTAGTGTACTTATTAAGTGCTCAGTCGCACTACAAGTGGCGCCTGTTCATAAAAATAGGAAAATTAATGGAAATACTCTCCACTCAATTCAAAAAGTACATCAACTGTATTATAATTAATGAAAACCATTTATATAACATTTGCTTTTAGATTATAAAATCCTTAATATGGATGCATATTTATTAAAAATTTCGCTAATTATAGATATATATTAAATTATAAATTATAGGTATTGCATAAGTAAATTAAAAGCAATAATTATATATATACATATATTTCTTCGTATGTGTATTATGAATGTGAACCAGAATATATACAAATATATATGTATATGAATACACATATATATAGAGTAGAGTATTTTCCTTTCGGTATTCCAGCTATTCCCATTCGGCTATTTCCATTTTTGTATTCATGTAACACAAATATTGACTTGTAAAGTAATACTTTACGGTCGTAGCACACGGCTCGAGCAAGTTGAATGCTAAGGAATATATCTGGGTTATTTTTAAATATGGTACAATAAACCTACATAAATTCTATTTATATTCCACTTTTTTATGAAAGGCTTAAAACCATAGAAACAAGACATGCTTAATGCAGTTTACACTCTCCACGCCTTGTGTTTAAGGCGGAGCAGTTTGTAGGGCCAGGATACAGGTAGATATGCAAGAACGTTCGTATGTATGTATTTCTCAGTAGAGCTCATTAAATTTGCGGAATAGTTTTGACCTCATTGCACTTCCGTTAGGAACGGAACGGAAGGAGTTGGCTGGCCTTCCTCTGAAGACTTCTTGTAGCAACTTGTGAGGAGGCTATCTACAAATTTTAATGTGTCAAAAGCTGTTGACTCCCTCGATGGACTGGAAAATTCTAAGGTTGCTTCGAAATCGATTTAAATGTTTTGCTTGCGTGTTTTGCGAGTAACCGTTACTGTTACCATTACCTTGAAGGCCTATGTATGTATGTACAGTATATGTACAGTTAGTTCTTTATGTTCTATGTATTAAGGTGGGCCAAACTGTCTGATTCGATAATACCCTATATGCGCACACAGAATAACAGTAAACGATGCTATAAAAATGCCCTAAAATCACTCGGCTCACTTTCTTATATGTCTACTATAAATGTAACATATTATGCTCCATTCGCATCGAGAAAGCTGATATGATGGTACCCTGTAATTGCGAAGTCTAGACGAACATTGCATGCGCCGTTTGCCTGTGATACGACTCCGTTTACATTCCAATTTATGATTACAGGGTAGACGCCCATACTCCTACGATATATACATTGCCTTAGGCTCGCCGTAAATTTCGCTTAGCTCATTTTGATTTTCGATAAAGCATACCACGGGGAATAGTATGCTACGTGGTCGAAACTAGAGTCGAAGTTCGACTATGCTTTAACTACCAATTTAACGAAGACCCAGAAACAAACTTGGACGAATTTAATAAGCGCTTTGTTGTGCAACGTAAACTTTTCTTTTCTTTTCGTTTTTTTTTTTTTTTTTCTTCTTGCCTTTGCCTTTGGTTTTTTTTTCGGGCTTGCCAACGAACAGGATGTTTGCAGGACATTTTACTGCTTATTAACGCCGTGTGCTCATTTCATAGAAGCTCTTCAAGAATAAAAGTAATAAAGCCATGAAGACTTTGACAGCCGAATCTTATTTATGTAAAGAAGCTCGCAAATTTATTAAATTCTTAAAGTTGCGAGTCTATTATTTGTCAAAGAAGTGGAAAAGTAAACAAAAGTATATAAATGAGAGCGCACATGTGTGTATGTGTGTGTGTGCATAGCATTTTCCTGTATCTGAGGGCATTTATCTAAATAAATATCAAACGAATGTATAATTTATTTGCCATTTTACAGCGTATTTGCTGGTCGAGCACTGTCGATTTGAGAGTTTTCATTTTATAATAATGGCAAGAAGGCACGCAACCCGACAGGAAATTGGATGCACTCTCTAGCCGAGCAGGAAAACTATTCTGCGGCGGGCCACACAACGCTGGAAAGCCAATCAGCATCATTATTATTATTACTTTCTATAAGGGCACAAAAAACCTACTTCACAGCTAACAAAAGTTAGAGTTTGCTTTAGCTTTGGCCCGATTTGCATATTTTTTGCTTGCCCCACAGCCTTTGCAGCGATAACGGCGAATAAAACGTCCGATGACACAATTTGCTAATTATATAACACAATATATATATATAAGCAGCGCATTGTGGGTTCACTTTCTGGATCAGCCATACCCTGTTGACCCGAGAGTCCTCTATGATATCCCAACTCATGGTTGCTCTTTGCATTCATGTCTTTCATGTATTTCCCAAGTTCAGCGCCAAAGGCAAATTAATTCGCTTCAGCAGACGAATTGTCAGACAATCAAATATCATATTTAAAATTAGAAAATTTCGCTTTCGCGCGCGCGTTCTTCCTTTCTTGCATTGTCTTACGTCATTTAATGTAATTCACGGTGACTTTGCCGCAGCGTTGGCAAGGTTAGGGCCCCTGTATGTGTCATCATTATCGCCCTCGCCTCACGTGGCACTGCCCCTGCCCCTGGCCCTGGCCCTGGCCCTAGTCCCTGCCCCTGCCCCTGCTTCTGCTGCGGTCCCTGTCTCTGCCTCTGCCCCGGGCCGTGCCTCTGCTGCTGCCTCTGCCTCTGCCTCTGTCTCTGGCTTCCACTCCCTTCATCTGAGCCTGATGGCCCTTCCAAGCCTTGCCAATACCAAAATCGATCGTTGTGGTTCCTTTTCGTGAAAAGCTATATATTTGTTATTGTTGTTGTTGTTTCTTTTTCGCATTCGCAGCTATTTTTGTTGTTGTTGCTCTGCCCTGTCTGATTCTACGTTATTGTTGTAAAAAAGAACAGCAACAGCAACAACCACAGCAACAACAACAACAACAACAACAACAACAAAAGAATAGAAAAAATTTACGTAAGTCGTAGGTGGCCCAAACCTCAGATGCCACAGAAATGTTGCACACGCAAATTTGAGTTGCTCGAACGTCCGTGCTGTCCAAAGTTGCCTTTGTTTGCCAATTTTTATGAGCTCCTTCTGCCAGCACCTACCTGGTCAAATTCTTCACACGCTTCGTGCATAAATACACCCAAGCACAAACACACACATACACACGCACACGCACACACACACACACACACACACACACACACACATACGCAACACCTGTAGACTAATTAATGACAAATTTCTCCCAGCTACGTGTGTGCGTAAATTGGTATATAATAAAATAAGAGCGTTACGCCCTCCCCAATTCCATTTGTTTGCAAATTGTGTTAACGTTGATTTAAGGTGATTCAATTAGTTTCCCTAAAATTGTGGAATTATGGTCGAGCTGCTTAGACCGGCTGAGTGAGCGCACGTCTAAGAATGTAAATGGTTTCTATTTAAGCGCAATTGATAATTATAATGCCCACAGGGCTGCCCGGCCAAATTATTTATCACCCAATACACGTCTTTTGGCTACCCGAAAAGACTATGCAAATTGCGACTTTTAATGATGGGTTCACACCGAACTGAGTGTAATTACGATACTTTAGGGAGCTGCCTGTAAAGGCGTCCCAAACCTTCTCTACTCCCCCATCAATTAAAGACGCCTATTGCGCGGTTTCTTCATTATTTTACCGAATACCAGTTTCAAAAAGTCAGTTTCATGTAAATATATACATATTATCGTACACCTCTTGAACTCCGGCTATTACTGTATTACTGCTCCATAGCTCCTATATTACTGCTCTATATGTCCTGTATATGTATATATATTTAACTAGAAGCTGACTATCAACATGGCTAGCCTTGTTCACGAAACAAATCACAAAGTTTAGATGATATAGCTTTACCCACGACTTCTGTGCCTCTCAACTCTCTAAAGCGAAAGTTTAAAACCCTATATCTCTTTAATGAAAG